AGGGGGCGGTACCACCCCCGTTGAGAACCAATGAACTAGATCATCCTGAGATCAGGGTCCTGCAGAGCACTATGTTTACATTTACATTCACAGCATAAAAAGCAGCTTCACTTTTGTAGCCTGTACTAGGGAAACAAGAGTGAGAAAGAGTTCAGTCTCACTTCTATCTCCAGGGCTTCAATTCCAGCATGATTAAACTCAGACCAGAATTCAGCTTTGAAAAGTAGATAGTAAAACTGAGCAAATCTATGCAGGTTTTCTCAACCCCATTGACTAACTTTGTGCCAAGGATTGAAAGAGTTCAGTCTCACTTCTATCTCCAGGGCTTCAATTCCAGCATGATTAAACTCAGACCAGAATTCAGCTTTGAAAAGTAGATAGTAAAACTGAGCAAATCTATGCAGGTTTTCTCAACCCCATTGACTAACTTTGTGCCAAGGATTGTCCATTAGTGAGAACCTTCCACACTACCACTGCTCCCTGCCTTGCCATCTCTTCTGGGTATGAGAGGTGTGTGTGAGTGTGTGTGTGTGCCTAAGAGATGTTGCTGTTGTTAGAGGGTGCAAAATGTTTCAAGATTGAAACAATCTACTCAGAAACATCTGGCTCCGGGATAGTGCAGCTTGCTCTGAGTCTCTCAGAACTTAAGTTTTGACGTTCCCAAAAGTCTTCTGATTTCATAAGGCATGATTGGAACAAAAACACTAACACTTCTGAACCACACTAATGTTTGTTGCTTTTTGCTCACTTACGACTTACTTTATTTAAAAGCTGGGAATCCACCTTTTCTCCTGGTTACTCATTCATCCCTGTAAACATTCCCTGAGACATTTCATATTGCTTCTCATGAGATGCTTCTTTACAAGAGCATGTTCATCTTGGGTCTTAGCCCACTAAGTTTCTCCACATTGCCCTGCCTGCAGCATTTCTGTCCTGCATGCCAGAGAGTCATCTAGTGACTCTCATATAGCTGGCTACCTATGGCTTGTCTTGCTTTGGACAGCTGTGCAGAACTCCCAAGAGGTGCTTTGCTTTGAGGCAGAAGACTTAGGAAAGCCCCTCCTTAAAGCTGTTTCTTGAAGCTTTGCAGCCCCTCCCCTCCATTTCTAAGCAAAATGAAGCAGCCCCATTGGTTCAGTTTGTCTCTATTTTGAGGCCATTTCTAACTCTTGCAAATGCAGGTCAAGGAGAATTAGATTCATATGACCCTTTAGTCTTTGCTTTACTTGTCCCACTTTGAACACAACTCTCCCCTTTACTGGGAGGAGATCAATAAAACCAAAGCAAAAATGGGAGCTGGGTAATTCCGCCTTGTCTCTGTGACATGTTAACACTATTTACCTAAGTGATAAAGTAGATCTATCCCTTTCCTTGTTCTTTGCCTCACTCCAAACACAGCATTCAAAGCCTCTTTTGTTCTTTTAGCCTTCCTCACAAATCTCTGCTCATTTTGGGTCTGGGAATGGATTGACAGAAGATGGATGTCCTCCTCTAACCACCTATATGGTCTGTATGTTATTTACATCACTTTCCTATACAGCTTTAAGAAAAGAATCTTAAACCAAAATATGATTGCTGCTAATCTGTTCAAGAGATAGTAAAGAGATGATGGTTTTTAGTGATCTTGAGCAACAGTGGTCATCTAGAGGCCAACCTTGGAGGTAGGCATGCTATACTAAGCCATCAAATGTCCAGGTTGATGTTAGGATTCTAAACAATTTTCTGGAAAATGTTTCTCATTTCACAGACAAGCCCAGCTTTGGATTTCCACTGTCATTGAAGACAACTCCTCTAACCAGTCTTAGCAAAGTCTACTACAACCATGCTGCCACCAGAGAAATATCCCAACCACCACCATGATGGAGGAGAAGAGGGTTTATTTGGCTTTCTTTGTGGTTGGCTGTATGAAAGCAGATCCAGACCTAGTCAGACCAAACCAAGTTGGCAATATTAAGCTGTAATATTCAGTGAACCAAGTCAGTACATCAGGGCTGAGACTGAAGAATAGGAAGCAGCAGAGAATTTCAGTTCCTAGAAATTAATTCTGGGTTTGCCAGAATTTATCTTCAGGCATTTCCACATTCAGTGATCTCTTATTAATGGTCATTCCAACACATCTGGAAGGCATCAGGTTGATTTAGAGGATTTTTGCCTCTTATATTTCTTCTGGGTAAGGTGTTTTATATAAAGTGGCACTTTCACAGAGCACCGTTTTCAATCCTCAGTCCCTTCCCCAAAGCATCTGAAATCTTTCATGTGAGCCCAGGCATATGATTATCCTCACATCTGCTGATTGTAGAATGATGAGAATAGGCAGGGAACACAGATTCTCCAGCTGACCTATAGGAGAGTCCAGAAATCATATTTCAATCAAGGTCATTCTTCTCTGAGCTACCACAGCTTCTGGAATAACAAGAATCTCTCCATTCCTGCTCCACACAGAAAGGATAAAGATAAAGAAAGAACACCTTCCCCACCCCCATGTTTTCAGCATGTCCAGTGCACCCTTTAGGATCACAGTGCACAAAATCTGAGTGTTGTTATGAGGGGAAATGGGACTGGCCAACAAGACACCATTCTTCCTGAATATAAATTAGACTGAAAGCTAAGGTGGTGGCATGACACCCTAGTTTTGCTGCCAGACACTTTTCTCAACAGTTTCAACCAGGGTTACAAATTGTAGAAGTTAACTTCTGTCTGTGGGTACATGAATGTGTGTGTGAAGGGAAGAAAGTGTCATGGAAATCTGGAGCAGAGAAAGTCTGGGCTGACTGGCATGACTTGCTTACTCAGTGTCAGACTGGGCCTCTGACCATTTCTTGGGCATAGGGACATATGATGTCATCCTCTACCCCTATCCCAATTTACAGGGAAGGCAACCTCTGTTTTTCTTTTTTTGCTACGGGACAAAGTAGTGTTTTCTGATTTGTGCTAGCTCAAGCTCTGCTGCCCCTTTGTCTGCTGTGCTTCAATTCATGGCAGGCAAATACCTCCAATCAACATGGCCCTGTGTGGCAGGGACAGGGGTGACTGCAAAGTGTGGTCAAAAAAGTCAAAATGATGGCTATAGTATTGCAATCAGAGCTTTACCTGTTTTTTTCACGTGCACTCCACATCTTGGATTTTTCTTACCATACCCTGCAGACACCCCTGGGCAGGAATATCCTCCCCAGGCACTCATTGCCCTTCACCCCTTTTTTAACAACTTAACCAGTGGAATGGTGAAAAGCTGCTCCCCCCTTTTTTTACAAGCAACCTGATGAAACAGTGAAAAGCTGGACTTGCCTTTTTGTTTGTTTTTGCAAGTTCATTGATGAAACAGTGAAAAGGTGGATATTTCTTTTTTTTAACCAGGTGAAATTGACAAGACTTCTGTCAGTTTTGCCTTCTAGATCAACTCACAGGAATAATAGTAAACTTGGTGCTTTCTTTTTCTTTTTTAAAGGTCCAGGAGGGGTAATGAAGACCATGATAAGTGCAGTCCAGACAGAATGACAGACCAAAACCAAGGAAGGGAAGAAATCTGGAAAGGAGTTTCTTAAATGGCTTTATTTCCAACCAGTTTACATTCTGAATTCCTTAAGGCTGCAGTGATGAAAAGTCCCAAGGAGACATGAAACAAGAATTAGATAAATACTGATTATATACAATAACAGATAATAATATATGTAGTAGCTCACCTTTCTGCTATATAGTTAAGCAAGTAGCCTTTGGATGCTGAAGAAAAGGAGCAAAATCTTCAGAGATTATAATGAACTGTTATTTTGACTAGCCACCTGGTGGTGATATTGCTCCATGGAGAAGTTGATGATAGAAATGGGACCAAGAGTACTTGCCAGCAGAAGATCAGCCTCCACAGTTTGTTAC